TGTTAGTGTATTGTATAATTACAGTAGAAGTACTGTAGATTGTTAGTGTATTGTATAATTACAGTAGAAGTACTGTAGATTGTTGGTGTATTGTATAATTACACTGGGAGTACTGTAGATTGTTGGTGTATTGTGTAATTACACTGGGAGTACTGTAGATTGTTGGTGTATTGTATAATTACAGCTAGAAGTACTGTAGATTGTTGGTGTATTGTGTAATTACACTGGGAGTACTGTAGATTGTTGGTGTATTGTATAATTACAGTAGAAGTACTGTAGATTGTTGGTGTATTGTATAATTACAGTAGAAGCACTGTAGATTGTTGGTGTATTGTGTAATTACACTGGGAGTACTGTAGATTGTTGGTGTATTGTATAATTACAGTAGAAGCACTGTAGATTGTTGGTGTATTGTGTAATTACACTGGGAGTACTGTAGATTGTTGGTGTATTGTGAAACATACCACTGGTTAATTCTAAGTTTATGTATATTCATAGAAGATTACTGTATGTTTGTGAAACATAATAAAATATACATTTACTGTTGGTGTGTTCAGAAAAATAATGTCTAACATTCCCATTAATAAAGTGTTACTTGAAAAAGTGCCTATTATAGATAAATGTTGTAATTATTAATTAATTAATTAATTTCATATCAGTTTTTCCAATGAACAGAGAAATAAAAGCAGTTCTTGCATATATGAAGTTCAATCACAGATGGTTGTTTACCTATCTTTGAGAAACAACATTCACAAAATTTAAAAAGACAGAAGTTTAGCTAATTTAATACTTACTAAAACTGATATAAAAGTATGGAAACCTTTCTTTTATGGTAGATATACCAATCAATTTCTGCATGGCAAGTTAGAAGAACAAAATGTCAAAACATGCAACATAAGCAATTAAGAAACCTCGTAAATAAAGCTAATTGTTTCTACAAGGCTACAAGTGCAAAGTTATACTATACTGTAAGCAGTTTTGTTGGCTAACTTTATACAAAATTAAGAAAAATCTAATATTAGTTATATTATATTAGCAATAATAAACATCTACCTAATCATGACAATCAATTTTAGTCAATAACAATCCTGTAATAACATACTTAGATACATCATAACTGCCTTTATAATATCAATCAAGTGTGCAAATGAATACTTATAGTTAGTTCCATCTGACAAACAGTTACTTCAGTACAAGTAAGTGTTTTTACATTGATTTTTGTTTCAGATTGTCAGGGTACAACTGTTTGAGAGGAACCAAGCTCAGAAGCATAATGTGCCGATCATAGATCCTACTGTTACGAAACTGTGTATCTGTTCCATGAAGCCGATCCAAGACGCCTAAAACCCCGTAATTCTGGTTGAACCTATGGGAAAAACAGACTAAACAAATCTTTTCATCATTTTTATCTTAATTCTAATATAAAAATTATTTTTAAAGTATTCAACATTGTATCTATTTCAAAATGGTATATAGTGTAGCAGAAAAACTTCATTACATTATGTCAAAGAGTGATGTTCAACATGGAAAGATTATCAAGTGTTTAGTCATGAAGATGACAAAATTATGTATAAGTATAAAACAAAGAAACTGTACTTCTACTGTAATTATACAATACACCAACAATCTACAGTACTTCTGCTGTAATTATAAACATTAGAAGAATCTGGACTTTGTGTAGTAGTTACTTATATTCTGTTGTTAAGAACACTTCCTTTTCAGCATGATACTTCTCATGGACTGTTTAAGCAACACCAGAAGAATCTGGACTTTGTGTAGTAGTTACTTATATTCTGTTGTTAAGAACACTTCCTTTTCAGCATGATACTTCTCATGGACTGTTTAAGCAACATTAGAAGAATCTGGACTTTGTGTAGTAGTTACTTATATTCTGTTGTTAAGAACACTTCCTTTTCAGCATGATACTTCTCATGGACTGTTTAAGCA